ATACGATCACAACACACGAGTTATAGATTTCTGCTCAATTTGATATGGATAGCGAAAACTTAAATTTGAAGGTCGAGCCGGGGGGGGGGCAGAAGGGGCTCCCTACAACAACCTTGTCTCATTCTCTGGTCAAAAGCCACACCGATCAGTTTACAGACACCGTGTAAAATTTTTTTTGGCGAGATTCTAGAGAATCAAAATCAAAGCAACCCTACACCTTATCTCTTCAGAGAAGCATGCTGTTTGGATTTTTTCACTTGAACCTTGTGTTTTCTTGATAAAAATATATAATTTAAGAAATTTTCAACAGCAAGATAAAAAGTCTCAGGTCTTTCGTCAATAATTTTGTGCTTTTAGCCTTCGTTTATACATTTTAATATATTATATGAAGCCGTAGATAAGATTTTCTTTCCGCAGGGATTTAAATTTGTAATACATAATATCTCAATACTTAATTACAAATTTGTAATTAACTTATCATGCATTTATCTTCAATTTATAACAGTATACTCATAAATAATTTTTTCTCCATATGAAAATCATTACATGCAAAATATTTGCTTTACATCTTCTGTCAAACCTTTTTCTATTAATCAATAAAAAGAAAATATTGTAAGACAACGTTCTCACATAAGTATTTCAGATTATTTTTATAGTAATGATTGAAATGTTTATTAAAAACTCATAGGGAAAAATTTACTATTTCAATTTTCAAATCAGTTTCCTGAGGGCTTATTTAACTTAAGTTTGTGCAGTAGAGCTGCATTTTGCACCCATATTTGAATTATACAGTATAACGTCCCATATCCGGACGACCCTTTCCCGGAAGGGTCGATTTCCTGGACACTTTTTAACAATCAAAATAAACAAAAATCTCTCCATCTTCCCCTTTCCAAAAAAAAAAAAAAAAAAAAAAAAAAAAAAAAAAAAAAAAAANGAACCCATAAATCACCAGAAAGGGGAAGTGAAGATCTACCAAGACCATTGAGTGACCGTTAGTGACGCTCCTCCCTTGGAATGTAGGAAAAAGAGGGAGATTTGTTTTCAAAAGACCGCAACTGAGTCCCCCCTCCTTTCCCATGCAGTTGGCTAGTAAAAGAGGCATTTCCTGGAACATTTTTATTCACAGAAGAAATACTGTGGAAAAGGGTAAACGGGGCAAGCGTTAAGGTGGAGGGGGAGTCAGAATGAAAAATTTTAATAGGTCTGAAAGGATACACGTCCTTGAGAAACAAAACATTCGTTCTTCCCCATACCATGCAATATTTAGGAGGCGGGGAGGAAAGGGGGTAACATTCTCTCTTTTGCAGATTCCTTCAGTCATAGAAGAAAATATAAAGAGAACCCGATCAGCGTGCTCCGCCTTTATGCTTGATTGATAACCAATTATTGGAGAGAAAACAATAATTTACTTCCCCATCCTCAACTTAAATGATCTCCTCTTGACACTTATTTTCTTTCACAAATAAGGAGGAAATGAATTTTTCTCCTCCACCTACCCACCTTAATGAATGACGGGAATTTCCCTTTCTTGCTTGAATCATTCTAGTTAAAAATGGCGGATTATTATTTTCATATGTACATTTTTTTTCGTTTTCTATATTTTAAGCAATAATATTTTTTTTCTAATATTTTATATTTGATTGATTAGATATTCTAATGCTAAAACATTATTCCCCTTAAAAATAATGCTTATTTTTTGCTTCTTAGATTCAGATCGTTTATTAAATCATTTTAAGCTTTGTTTACCTTGGGGGTCTATTATACGGAAAAATCTATTATACGGACTTCTGGAAGTCCCACCGATTCCGGATACGCGACTTTACACTGTACTTCCAATTTTCCAACCTTTAAAGTTAGAAATGCAAACAGATTTATTTAAATTTTTGATAAATATCTTTCATTATAATTTAAATAGCTATTTGAAAAAATATATTTTTGTAGATATCTCTATTTTACAAGGGAAATTATTTTTTGTCAATTATTTTCTTTTTGGGAGGTGCTTAAGCCCCCTCCGTATTCTACTCCCTGGTTACGGCCCCGTAATAAATGATAGGCTATTGAGTTTTAAAAGTGTATAAATATATTTTAGCTAAGTTTTTCATAAAAGAGAATTTTCCTTAAATTAGTGATAAGTCGTGAACATTTTACTGTAAATGAGAAAAAGAAGAGTAGGCGAAAAAATCATCAAAACATGATGGGGGAAACAGTATTTTCATGCAACACATAACAGTTTTAAATAACAGTATATTCAGTACAACTTAGGGTAAGTAAAAAAAATAAGAATGTCATTGGTACAATTATTATATTTTTCTCAGGAATTTTTAAGAAGATCACCATAAATCAAGTGATTTATTTTCAAACTAATTTACTTTTTTTAATTTAGGCATAGATTTCTTTTCGAGTTATTGAGTTCTTTTTTTAAAGAAATTCTTTTTAAAAGAATTGTATAATAAAATAATTCAAATTACTCTATTTTTTCCAACATAAGGAAAAGATTTGCATGATTTGATGAAAAGATTTGCATGAAAGATTGCAGCTCATTATTTGATTCTTTCATATGTTACACTCAATCTCTTACCAAATAAATATCAAGTACCATAAGAAAAACAACATTCATTTTAAAAGTAATTCTCGTTTGAACTAGAAANGATTTGCATGACACGCAGCTCATTATTTGATTCTTTCATATGTTACACTCAATCTCTTACCAAATAAATATCAAGTACCATAGGAAAAACAACATTCATTTTAAAAGTAATTCTCGTTTGAACTAGAAAGGGTTACTTATAAAAAAGATTTTTTCATAAAAGTTTAAAGTATTAAAAATCAACTTTCTTTATCAATTTTTTTTAAATAAAAAAAAGTTATAATTAATTAAAATAAATTTTTATTTATTTGTTCTATAACATTTTAATTTGTTAATGTAAAATTTGCCGTAGTTGATAGCATGGATTAGCTGTTCCCAAAAATCATAATGTTCCTCCTTACTCTCTATAGTTTAAATTAAAAAAAAGAACGAATTTTTGATTTTAGAACTCAATAAGTATTTTCCTGGAAAAAATGGGAAAAAACCAAAAAAAAAAAAACTTTCTACTCGCAAAGAATAAAAATACTTAATACTTAAAAAATTATTACACGATTTTTTTTTGCATATTTTATTTTATAAAAATAACATTAAATTTTTAAAAAACTAACATATTAAATATAAAATGGGTGTTTTTTAAAGTATTAATGATAGTATTAAGTCATCTGTAACTGAAAAAAAGACATAAAAAGGGCTTTAGTTAGCCCAATTTCTAATCGTTTCGAATTCTGAAGAAAATAAAACCTTCTTCTCCCTTTGGGTAGTTTTTNGTTGCATATTTTATTTTATAAAAATAACATTAAAATTTTAAAAAAATAACATATTAAATATAAAATGGGTGTTTTTTAAAGTATTAATGATAGTATTAAGTCATCTGTAACTGAAAAAAAGACATAAAAAGGGCTTTAGTTAGCCCAATTTCTAATCGTTTCGAATTCTGAAGAAAATAAAACCTTCTTCTCCCTTTGGGTAGTTTTTCGTTGTTATTCATTTCTGGCTCGTAAAGGTGTGAAAGCTAGAAAAATAATTTCCCTGCCATCTATCGGAAGGTTTCGAAAGTCACGTCTAAAATAATGGACAGCGCCCTCTCTATATGGCATTTAAAAGATTTTATTTACGTTTTTTTTATTTTTATTATTATTTAGAAAATAAATATGATGCTACATGAAAAAATACTTTTCCTGCGTAAATGAAAAATAAATATATTTAGCATTTTGAAAGTATAATTTTGATTTTCATTTATATTCTGTACTAAAATTTAAAATAAAAAAGTCCTTTTATCAGTAATCATTTTATAGTAATATGACTAATATTTTGAAATTCAATTAATAAAAATTCCAAATATTTTGTTATTATTAAAAAACGAATTTTTAAAAACAGAGTTTCTTCAGCAATTCCAAATTCCAAATTTTACCCCAAAATTTAAAAAAAAAAATATATATTGAGTTTATTTTACTGGATTTTTGTTCTAACCATTCAAAAAATTTGAACAGATTTTATTAATGCAAAACTCTTAAAACTCTTTTAAATATTTTGAGTCCTGTTTTCTTATTAAGTATGACCATAAACTGAGATTTTAAGTTAAAATAAACATTAAATATTGAATATTTAAATAGTTGAAAACAATTTATATGACTTAAAAATCTTCTTTTTTAACAGTTATTATAACACAATACTTCAATTGTAATTAAAGTTTGCGAATAATTAAAATAAAGTATGTTTCATACGAAATCCTTAATATAGTTTACAGTAATTAATTTTAGGCTTGTTCCTGCAGGGTGGCCACTCAAAACAGATTTCAAATTTCCCTGATTTTTCCAGGTTTTCCAGGTAAAAATCTTAAAATTTCCAGGTTTGTATTTTTTTTCTTTTTTTGTATAAAGTGTAGGATGTGTACAAGAAAAGTGTCTGTATTATAAAATATCTTATTCAAATCATAAAGCGGAAATTAGCCAGAAGAAACTTATTAAGTATGACCATATATTTTCAGATGAATTTATTTAAGACTGAAAATTATAATCAATAGTACAAAATAGCCCCATAGGTTTAATTATAAACCTATTCACCCTTACAAAAGGGTTGAAATCCTTTTAAAACAACAAGAGCATAAACTGAATTTTTCAAAGATTTGTATAATCTTTTAGAATTATTTGAATATTGACTAAATATTTTTATTCAGTAACTATTTAAAGGTTCTGTAAAATAATATACCTAAAACTAAACGTTACTTTTTTTTAATGTTTACTCAAGACTATTAAAAACGGCTCTGGTTACAATTACCTAACTTGATTCTATATATTTTTTTAAAAAAATTAAGAAAATTAAAACATAAAATTAGCCATGTATAAACAGAAAGTAACTTGGTAATTGAAATTTCAGAGTAATGTATAATTTAAACAAAGAATAAACTTACGAAACTTGTTCCCATTTCCATTTTACAATTTTAATGTCATCTTTACTTGCAGTTCCATTTAATATGAAAGGTTCTTTAATAGGAAGAGTTACTTTTTGATCGGAACCAGCATTAGCTACTGGTGGAGCATTACTTTCAGGCTTAACAAACAAATGCACTTCTGTTGTAGATGTTTGATCCGCTGTGTCAGTAACTTTCAATATAAATTTATACACTCCTACTTCAAGTTGAGAAAGGTGTAAGTATGGGCCATTTGTACCCTGAAAAGTAAATAAGTGGAAGAAAAATCAACTAAAACTTTTAATACCATTAAAACTTATTTTTAAAACTTTTATACAATATTACCTGTTTGAAGAAAAAATGTAGAAAAGTCAATCTATAGTTATTATTGAAATTATTACTTCATTTTAAAGACAATTAGTAAATTGAAGACCTCTGGGATGAAAAGTTATAACCCGCATGGTATAAAATTTTTACTTCTTTATTGTAAAAATAAAACAAGAGCTTCCCTTCTGTCCAAATAATGTGTAGAAATTGCTATATACAAATGCTTATCAAAAAGTTTTCCAATGAGAAATATGTATAATGAGTATTTTATATTTAAATCATAATAAATAAAACAATTTAAGTGAAAAAAAAATTAAAGTTCAATGTGACAAAACTATGTGCTCAGGTATTTCTTCTTTGAATACATTTTATAAAGCTGTAATTTTTTTGAAGTAGTTTATTCAAGTGTAACAGATATTTCTAAAAGGACACTTATTTTGACAGTAAAAGTGCTCTATCTTGAACTGGGCCTACCAGAATGTTAAAAAATCTTTCTTTTTTTTTTTTACAAAAAATTTATTGAAACAGTCAAAAATCTGCTGTTAAGTACTGATCAATGGTACCAAAGCAAATAAATGCCTTTAAATTTCACTTAATTGCATTTTATACGGAAAGAGCACCCCCATTCTTATCACTAAACCAATACAGCATGAGTTCAAGCACATAACTGCATCAAGGTTAGATTGCAAGGAAATGTCAAAATAGACAAAAACCCCTAAAATCAACAAAGCCCTTCTAAGTATTTGATGGGTAACATCAATCAATTGATGCTTTTGGATTCGCTGGTGGAGGTAACGTTACAAGCTTAAAAATAATTGTTTTGAAGCCAAACCAATATATAGAAAAGCTTACTTCCATGTCCACAGCTTTATCAGTGTCCGGGCTTTTTTTCCATTCCCATGTTTTAATTCCTTTATCATCAGTACTAAGATTTCCATTCAAAGTTACTTCATTTTGGGGTAAGTAAATGACGACCTCAGATTTAGCATTAGCAGTTGGAGGATAATCTGTCTCTAAATTGTAAAAAAAAAAAATTTTTTAACAATTTTTAAAGCCAAGAGTAAAAGAGACTGTAAAAAGTTTATTCTATTGTTTTAGCGTACAAGGTGTCCAGTGAAAGTGTACCAAAATTCAATAATTTTGAAACAATTGCAGACAAAAAGGGCAAAATAAACAGTATATTGATAGCAAAAAGTAAAACTTCTATAGGTCATTTTCATAATTACAAAAATATTCAACAAATAGCTAGACAAAAATTTAAATTGTAGACAAAAGATATTACTGCATAGATACACCAAATAAATACCCTGTAGTGAAAAAAACAGCTCTACTTTTGGGAAATTTTTGTTTATCATTACAGCTATCCACAGTATAGAGCAAATTCATTTGGCAACTTATGTTCCACAATTGTTTATATGCATCACTATCTGTTGGAAACTTTTGTATTTGAATTTAAAAAATAGGTATAAAAATCTTACTGCTCTCAGTATCAATCAAACCTTAATATAAAACTTATAATTGCATTAGAATTTAACTTAAAAATAAGACACTCTCTTACTGGATACCCAGTACATATGGCTTAAAAATACCTTTTTGAACTGTGACATTAGCAAAAGTAAAATTTGAAGCCCCTTTGGAGTCAGTAACATTCAACCTATTAAAAGAAATCATTAGCTAGATATGTTATATCAAAATCATGAAATTCCATGACACATCAAATTTTCACATAAATATTATCTAGATATATAAAATCTAAAAAATAAATTAGTTGTGGGAGCCCCTCAGGAAATAAATAACATTAAAAACATTTATTAAACATTAAAAATATTTAGAATAACATTAATTTAAATTGTTATGCATGCATATATTCAATAGACTTCATCAGATTACTACATCTCTATTGTAATTCAAAAAACATACTCTATACACTTTCTAGTAAAATAGCAATTCTTCACTTTTAAAAAATAAAATTTTCTTACAGTATTTATTTCTTCACACTATAATAATATAAGAAAATTAATAAAAACTAAAAAAAATTGCATGTACTAAATTTTGTATTGTAAGTGCATAGCAGTGAATTTAAACCCATGCAAATGTTTTAGCAACAATGGCGTTATTAGAAGAATAAACAAGTATTGAAGCAATAATCAATGATCTCCAGAAATGTAATAGAAACACTATAACTAGAAATTCAATTTAACTATCAAAAAGTAAAAATATCAAAATAATAAAGGTATGATTTACAAATTTAATTTAGAATAACAAATAGAAAAATAAAAAATGATCACCAAGTTCTAAGAATGGTGTTTTCAATACAGACATAACACACACAAACTTCAAGTTTTCCACTATTTAATTTCCTGTTTGAAAGTTGATAGCTGCTTACTCCATAATCATGTGAGGCAATATTTTGATATAGTTATGCTTGTGACAAAAGAAATGTGTAATATAATGTATAAACTCAAATCTTCTACAGAAACAAGCAACACAGGTTTTTTATTTGAAAAGAAATCACTTATTTAGCAGTCCAGATTCGGCTTTGCTTAATTACTTAGTTTCACACATACACGAAATGTATGTGTGAAACATTTAAATACTGGAAATATTAAAGCCAAGAAAACTGAATTTTTGCATTTTATATAGTAAGTTTTATTGTAGTCAGATTATAAGATCTCTTTATAAGAATGTATGTAAGAGTAGCCCAAGTAGGGTGGCAAAATCCCTTGCTACTCAAATGACCTATTGAAGTCTGAAGTATTTTTTTCTTTTTTTGTTATTTGTTTTAATAAATATTTATAAGCTAGCACTTTTGTTGTCAGAATCTCAACAAAAAACATTTATTATTCAGACTATAACGAAATATAAACACTAATCAGTTGATTTTCTTCAAGTATAATAGCATACATTTGCAGAAATGCAATAAATGAATGCCGTTGAAGAATCATGGGAAGTAAAAACATTAAGGAAATAAAAAAAAAGTAATATCCTGACTCAAACATTAATATTTACTCTAAATATTGTATTTTGTATAAAGAAATTGCAATATTATTGAAAGTGTCTAGTAAAGTTCTGAATGAAATATTTCTAACTTCAAAGTTTTTCAGGTTTCATGCAAAAAATACTGAAATCTTTTTTTGAACAATAATTTTTAATATTAAATAATTAAAAAATATTGTTTCTTTATTAATTTTATTTCAATCTTTATCAAATATATTTATTAAATATATCATTGATACTTTACTAAGTATAGACATACTTTAATTATGTCTATAGATCACACACAAAAGGGAAACCAAAATTCAAGATAATTTCTTAAATGAAAAAAAAAATTAAAATTTCAAGGATTATAATTGAACACATTTTTACTGATTCTAAATCTGATATTGATAAAACATGATATATTACATATTTTATCATTTACTTCACAGTCTTGCTTAAGTATATTTTGTATATTTATAAGCATATTTTAATCAATAAATAAAAAAATATATATGAGTTTTTCTCTATAATTTACAATATTTTTTTTAAAGAAAACTAATGGCAAATTTTGAATTTGAAATGCATGAACTAACAATTATAGAAAAAGAAAATCCTTAATGATCATGAAAGAGACAACAGAAAAGGCAGTTTTTTTAATTGTTAAACTTGACTATTATTTACCTTTTATACTATTATTTACCTTTTATACTATCATTTTCCTTTTATACTAACATTTTACTGTATAGATTTAGTTGAACAGACAGAGTTAAAACAGAACGTTTTTTTTAAATTATATTTTATGAATTTTATTTCCATATTAAAATTTAGTTAACATCTATCATTTTTTTACTTATTGTAAAAAGAAATGATGAAAAGATTTTAGATAAAGTCATGCATTGCATTAGTATTTTTATTTAAAATCTTTTTATAAACTTATGATGAATTTTCTGTATGAATTAGTAATCTGTATTTTTAAAACATTCAAAGTATATTTTTAGATAGTTTAAAAAGTAAATGCAATGATTTTTATCTTATAATTATCACATATTAAAACTATATCATTTATAAATTATGATTCAATTACAAAAATATATGAACCACAGCAGCAAAATAATTTGGGCCTTCATTGGGCCAATATTCATGAATCTTGGCTTAATAATTGTTCAAAGGGCCATTATTCTTCAGATATTCTATATAGAATTTTCCAATTTACCCAATATTTTACAGTCACTTTAAAACCAATATTGGTTCGTTATAGAAATGTCTGATTCATCTGACATTTTATATCCATTACTTAGCCAATATAGGTCCATATTGGTCAATGTAGGATATATATAGGCCATTCTAAGATCAATGTTAAAAAATCTAGACATCCCAATATTAGTCCCTCGGTGCATGTTCTTATAGGACCCATATTGAGTCAGCTTTGCACCCAACTGGGGCCAAGGTAAAATTGTTGGTAGGGTATATACACATAAATATCAAAATAAAATGAGAATTCATCTCATTCTCTTTTAAAAATAATGTACCCCTTAAAGAGAGAAAAATGATTGTCAAACACTATGGTTACTTTCTGATGAGTAATGATGTATTTTTGATTAATCAAATTTTTGGGATATGAATTTGAAACTTTTCTTCCATCCAAGATGGATAATAGATAAACTGAGGTGAAGAGTGAACAAAAGTATCAAATTACAAATTAAAAGTAATTATTAAAAAATGCAAATACTTTCCCAAGAATTTAAAAATTTTTGACAATATTTTTAAAAGCAAACATATTCATAATCTTCAAAAAATTTAATAATTTTTTTAACTACAGAAACTTATTTTTCATCATTTGAATTTTTCGTTTTATAATAATCAAAAATAATACAAAGTGATTTGACTTACATTTTTTAAGCAATAATTTTTACAGTTATTTTTTTACAATTTTTCAACTTCTAGGAAGACTTACTTAAAACGATAAAGTCCAGGGATTAAATTTTTCAACTGCAAAGTAGGAGTCTCATTTAATTGAACAGAATAACCAATAGGCACTTCAAGAACTTCCCATTGATACTTGACAATTTTATCATCATCTGTACTAACTACCACAGATAATTAAAAATTGTTATTATAACAATAAAACATTAAAAAGTGTAAGAACATTTAAAAGTGTTAGGATTAAGTAATAAATAAAAGTAAAGCAAACTAATTTGTTTCATCTACATAAGAATGTTGAAACAGTTATAAATAAAAACTCGTAAATTTTATTTGATAAAAGTTTAGACAAAACTCTGTTTTGCAAGGGCCAGAATAGAACAATCAGAAAAAAAGGAAAAAAGAATCGAAGGAAGAATAAAAAAAAATGGGTAACCTCTTCATTTAATAAAGGTGTATTTTGGATGAATACAATTTTAATGAGTCTAGGTTGCGCTGTAATTTATTTTTCACTGAAAATAAAATATTATGAAAAGCAATTAAATGGGAAAAATCAAGCAAAGGGATAAATTGCAAAGAAATTTTTTTCATAATAATACATTCTAAATTAATCATGTATGGTAGATTAATTAAAAAAAACTAATGTAACTGTTACAAAATGAATGGATAGAGGAAGTTTTAATTGTATTTAGCTTATTTATAGGATATTATTAAGTTTATTCCAACGAGAATGTTAAGTTATCTACAAAAAGCAAGGATTGTGATTTTTTGATTCTTTTAAAAAAAATTTTAAAAAATCAGATTTTTTTGATTTTTATTCAAATAAATTGTAAGAACTTTAATTTATGATTAAAAAAACTTTATAAATGTTTGATCAAAATTTAAATTAATATCAAAACTATATTATAACAATATTTTAGAAGCTCTAACTAACTAAAATAATTTTTCATTATGATACATAGCCTTTAATCCATAGCAACCCTTTTGAAACAAAGGCATGAATGAAATTTAAAGACTAGATGAAGTAGAGAATTTAAAGAATAAACTATTAAAACAAAGTTTCAATTAGCCAACCATAATTTTAATTTAAAATTGTGATTTCGCTTTTTTTTTTTTGGATTTTTAAAATTACAAAATAAATGTAACAGATTGTGTTTATAAATATAGTCATTCATAAAAAATAAATATTTAATCTATATATTTTTATATAAAAATATTAATTTGTAATACTATATCAAAATAGATAAGTTAAGCGAAAAATTTTTTAAAAAAAAATCTATATACTCATTGGAATTTTTTTCACAAAATTTCGTTATAGAAAATCTGATAAAGTCAAAGATACTGTAAATATACTATGAGAAAAAATACCAGTTATCAGTTAATAACCCCACTGTTTCAAATAGACTTTGAAATGGAAGAATGACACTATATTAGGAAAAAAATATCTGAATTCATCAGCTTTTTTTTCCATTTTTGGCACATTAGGGTAATTTCTTTTTAATATAACCTCAAGCTTTAGAAATATAAATTTTCCACCAATAAAATATAATGTAGATTTTAATTCCATGCTTTTTCAATCAAAAAGTGGAACTTTAATTAACATTTCAGTTGATCAAAATCAGTTGATTTAAATCAATCCAATTGATCAGTTGATCAATTAATCCAAATCAATCAAAAATCAGTTGATTTAAATCAATGACTTTTTTTAAAAAATCATTTGATTTAAATCAACATACCCTGACAAAAAGTATATATTTTAAATAAAACTATAGCAGGGGTGATTGTGACACAAAGTGAAAAAACCTGAAAATTTGAAGTAAAAAAAAATCGGTATCAACAAATCAATTTATGTGCATTTTTAATAGTAATTGTTTGAACTAACATTTATAAATAAATTACCTACTAAATGAAGAATATCTTATCTTTACAGAAACTAGTTCAATAAAAAACACATTTCTTACAAAAATCGCAGATATTGGATTTTAAAATCAAGTAAATATGATTCAAATAAATATGAAAGTTTTTTATTTTTCCAACGAAAAAAAATAACTTAAAAGAAATACTAATCAACTTACAAGAGCCATCGAGAACAGTATCTTTATTTGGGAGTTTTACTGTCACATTTGAAGGTTGAATAATAGCAATTGGAGGTTTATTTTCTCGTTCAGCTAAAATAGAAAAAAGCATGCTTAAAAGACAGATGCACTAATTTAGATGAGAAAAATAAATAGCAGAAATAAGCTCAATAACTGTATTAATGAACTAAGACATTTAAAGGGGCTATTCTAACTACATTTGGCTTAGTTGATGCAAATTTCTTGGTTAGCACATTTCACGCTCACATATGCGATTTGCTTCCAGAAGAAATAAGGGAAATTCAGAACTAGATTAGTCATAATGTGCTCACATAGACAATTCCAGATGCAGTGAGAATGGGCTCGAATAGTCAAGTGCTTATTTTTTCCTTACTTAGCAACCCTGTGGCAGAATTTTTTCGGGTTTTCAGCGACATACTTCTGTAACATTAATATCTTTCTGCAAGATACTTAGAAATAACAAATACACATGTCACTACTAATTAAAAATAACAGAAACGATTTTAATATTATGGGCGATATTCTCACATTTTGTATGAAGATAACACACTAATTATTTTCTCCTCGCATTTTGTTATTATTCATTATCACATTAAAAAAATGTGAAATCTGTAACAGTAACTACCAAAAAAAAAGATTGACTGCAAAATCATACGTATCAGTCTCTTCAAATAGGGGTTACTAAATGCGTGCTTTTATTTTGAGATTCAGTTGTGAGAAATAATATGGTATTAAAAACATCAGATTTTAAAAGCTATGTGGAAATCAGTAGTCAATGTAGTCAATCAGTATGGAAAAATGGGACGAAAATTTCAACAGAAAAGAAAACCAATTTTTTTCACTTCACTATTCCTTATTATTTTACTATTCTCAAATGAGAAAAAAATCACAAGCACTTTTTTCTACTCCGATGTGAGAGAAAGGCATCTTTTGAATATAATTCTGAAGAAAAGACACAATCTTTCGAAAATTTCTGCAGAAAAGAAAATTGTTTACTTCCAAAGGGAAAAATCTTTCTGCTAGAAATCTGTAACGTTCTAGGACAATGTCGCCCTGATTCTGCCATAGGGCTTAGCAACACTAGCACTAACTTGCATAATGAAATAAAAATTATGTAGGTTCACCATGCATAAATTGTCTGCTATATGGTTACCTCAAAAATAATACTTAAATATTTTACAATCAGGGCGCAAAATCAATTTCTGAAAAAAAAATATTCACTGAGTCTACAAAGCAATCATGTCCTTTTTGGATCTTGTGCCATTAAACCATACTTTCAATTCAATTCGAGTCTCCATAGCAACAAATCTTAGTGTATGGAATAACATAGTATATCAGTTAAGATCAGATGATAATAAGATTGGTATACTAAAAAATAAATATAGCCTTAAAAATATAAAAAAATTATTTAATTTAATATACATCAATACAAAATTTCTTCTTTAAAGCATCTTCTTTAAAGCATTCACAAACAACCAAACACTCATAGAATCTGGTTGCTTCTGAAAAAAACGTTTGATTACTAGTAGCTCAGTCAATTTTGACTTATGGTTCAAACTAATTCCCAATAAGCTGGAAATGAATTTATTTTATGATTGGACATTCTAAAATAGAATAATATGGATAGTTTGCGATGATTTTTGAAGAGAGCTGAACTTTTGAGAACTAAAAATCTGCTTAATTTTAAACACTTTTTTAATTTTAGCCACATAACACCTAAAAAATGCATCATATGTAAAATTTAATGGTAAACAAAGTTAAGTATCAGTAAATTCTGCATAGAATGATATTCTGAAACATTAATTTTGTTTCAGCAGTTTGGACAGAATTAGTAACCAAAATTGAGAAAAAAACTTTAAAAAAACGCAGCTAAAAAAACAATATGCTCTTTTTTAAACACCCGTGAATGGTAAATTACACTCTATATAAAAAATGTTAGGGTATGAAAGTTTTACAGCATCAAATTCTGCTTTTAGAGAACAGCGAGTTTTACAATTTTTCTCATTATTATGCATCAAAATAAGCAATATTTCGAGTTTTTCGCACAGATTGGATTCAACTTACCATTTAGAGGCCAATTTATTATTTAAATATTACTATTTTCTTTCCTGTTCTCAGAAACAATGCAATAAGAAGTTAACAAAAAGGCCATTTCAATTCAATATAAAATACCCATTGCTCATAAAAAAGAGTAATGAATAAGAAGATAGCCACATCACCAATAATGTGTAATGTAATATAGCAAAAAAAAGAGAAAAAAACTTTTAATAACAATCTAAGTACAGAAGGAGTATAATATTAATAAAATAAATAAAAGCTGTAATCCCAGAATTCCAAATCTTTTACCACTATCTTTGTCCACTAAAAAGGTCTTCTAAAGTTTATGAATGTAAAATTGATTTTTGTAGTTTTCTAAAGAATTATTAGATATTTCGAAGAGTAATGTTTCAAAATTTCCTTTTAGAATCATTAAAAATTTTATGTATTTTTTAAATATAAAATTCAGGAAACAAAATGAAAAATATTTTTGGTCATGTTATTTCTGTCTGCCCTTTACCCAGCTCCCTAATTTTATATATCATCGTCTTTAGCTGAAGTTTTTGGTTTTCCTAACTAATTTTCCGAAACTATCTACAGAACAGTTACAATTTCTTAGGAGTCTTGGTTGGCAAATATGTAACAAATTTAGTAAAAAAGGGAAGTTCTAATTTTTTGCTTTCAGTTTTTAAAATTTGCATATTTGTTGTTAACATTTTAATACAGTTCTTACAATTATTTATAATTTTTAGAAACTTAATTGAATGTTAATATAACTATTTTTGTAAAAAATTGTAAATTTCAAAAAGCTTTTTTTTAAATTTTATAAAACATACTTAACTGGAACTCAAATTCATAAAAAGTTTAAATACTTCTAAATATAGGTAAGTTTTGAATAATTTAGTATAGGTTGGGCACTAAGTTAGATATTAGCCTCAGGAATTAGTTTGAAGCACAGCATTTTTTCAATATAATTAGACTGAGCAATTCGGAGATCTTTTTACAACATTCCTAATGAAATTTTTTTCAAAAATTTTCATTTTTGAGAGAAGTTTTGTAAAAAATTTCATTTTCCTGGTTTTTTCAGCTAATTTCAAATTTTCTGAGATACCCAGATTTCTTTTGAGGTGTGCAAAACTTAACTATGGATTTTCATACTGTCTGCCTCGAAACAGTTTTAGACTTGGAAGGGTGAAATGAACTTCAAGACATAATTTTAGTCCAAAAAATGAAGATAAATTTAAAACCAAAATCATATAATGAAAACTTCATTTAGCAGATATATGCAAATATTATTCAAGTCATATGTTAAATTCCAAGATAAAATTTCAGTTTTAGAACCCTAACCTTCTGATGTTTGGAACACAAGTGACATAATAAAAATACTATTTACTCTATTCATAATTTGAAACATTGAAGTTCAAATGCTAAGTCATTATTCTTAACTTTCAAAATGACTTTTAAAGCTAAACTTTAAGTGAGTTTTCTAAAAAAAAAATAATGGAAATTTGAAATTGCACATTTAAGTTTTGACACGCCCAATCTAAATAAATGTAGTCTTTTGATAATTTTTTTTCAATGGTTAACAATACGGATTTACACATAGTTTTAAAAATCTCCACATTTTTAAAACGACATTATTACCGTAAATTTTTACTCCTATTTAGCCTATTTTTTCCATTTTATCCCTATTTTTACTGTCTTACAACAGCAAACTAGTTTTGGAATATTACATTTAAATACAAAAATTTTAAAAGACATAAAAATAAATGAAAACACAAAATTTAACAAACTGTTCCAAAAAATAAATTCATTTTTTCTCAGATTTTAAGATAAAATATCGGTCAAAGTAAAGAAAACTTTTCATTAAATGCATAGTCTAAAATCATATATTTATAATGTATAGAAAATTAATTCTGTTTTTAATCAATCTTTGTCATTTAACATTAGTATTCATGATTGCACATACGTGGTAAGACTGTAACATTAACCATGGCTTCACCAACAGCATTTTCAGAAGAGACAGTAACTTTAAATGTATATAATCCAGCTCTTAACTGAAACAGAAAAAAAAAATTTAAGAAGTAGATAAATCCTAATAAATTAAAATGAATCATTACAAAATAATTTCAAGTGTTACTTTAAATAATTTCTTAAATGTAATGAGAGAAACAATAAGGAATTTGATTTTATAGATCGAATTTGTAATTTTAAATACAAAATGAGAATTAAAGTAGTAAGTTAAAAAACAAAATTTGCACTAAAGGCTAATCAAGTAAAACAGAGAGTAGAGTGTATCATACAGAAAAATTATTAGATCAAATTATAGTAAAAGCTCGACTACCTGAAATGCGCATAAATCATCAAATTCAAGAAAGGTGAAAATTTCGAGCCAAAAATTCTATTTATTTTCTACATTACCTTATTTTCTGGAGAAAGTGCCACCTTTTAATAAAAAAAGGTTTATCAGAATGGATGTTTATATGAAATAATAACAAGATATTGTTAAAAATAAAGAAAAGTAACAGAAAATAACGTTTTTAATTCTTAATCTGAACTTTTTTTTAAAAACTAATCTGATTTAAATATTTAACGTTGAAAATCTTACTTTTTATTCTTACTGTAATTTCATCAAAATGCCATGTTACAGTAAAAATGCAAATAAAAAAAAAGCTCTATTTTTGCTTATAAAAAAATTATAAAGATAAAAGGAAATTAATCTAGAATAGTTAGTTATATCCATAAGAGAAATATCAAAGATATATGAAAGAAAGTAACTACGAATGTAACTATTAGCATTAATTAATATAATTTTATGTTATTTTTGTCATTAGAAAATGAGGTATGTTGCCATGTGAATAAATCACACATTTTTTCAAAGCTTCCTACAATTAGGAAATTTCTTTAATAACCAAACAAACCAGAAGTCTGAGCATCTCTAAGGATATTAAAAAATAAAAGTTAGGACAAATAAGTTATTTGTATTTGTCCACCTCAGATCACAAACTTTTGAACCAACCCCTTTTCGATTTAATTAAATTTGGTGCAATGGACATACATGACAAAGTAAGCAATAATACTAATGGTAATTTAAAATATCATATTTTTAATTTTAAAATGATCTACGTTATGAACAAATAAAAGACTAAAATGCATAAATGGCTGTAATTTTTTTCCTAATTGTGGTAAAAAAAAAATATCAAACAACATTGCAAAGCTAGTGAACGGAAAAAAAACTTTTTAATCAATATCTTATAAGACCTGTTTTGACCTTAATTATTTCAAAACACACATCCTCAAAAAATTTACATATTTCTTTACCTCATCATTCTTCTACAGGTTTTCCAATTTGTAGCTAGGGACTTCAATAGGAAGGCTATATAAAATTAACAAAAGTAATATGATGTATATCTCTACAGCTAAGACACTAATTCCACAATGTGTCTTACTTAAACAAACCCACCTTGGTTTTGTGTCATAACTGGAGGCGGAGAAAACCAATGAGAGCCAAACATATAAATTAAAAAAGCTTATATACGAATGTATATTACCAAGGAGAACCTGCCCCACCTGGAAAAAAAATCGAATAAGTAAAAAAGGAGAGAAAAAAGCACCCACCAAATTAAAGTCACTATTGTAAATAGCAATAGATCCATTATGTTTGTATATGGCTCCAACAACATGATATTGCGTACTATTTACTAAATACTGGAGGACATTAGAAATAATATTATCCCAGATTTCAATGATTGCAGCCTTCAACCATGCCTCAAACAAATTGCTTCTGTTTGATAGCCTCTAATGAAGATATTGTTACGTTTTCTTGGGGATTGGCATCAGTCGAAAGATCAGGCTATTTATGACATTTAGCCTATTATTCAAAAATCACCGCTAAGGAGATTATACAATGTAAAGAGAGGCGTTTTTCTGCTGGGAAATCTGCCTTGCTGCACCAATTCTTTCTGCAAATGGCAATAAATGGGCTTTTAGAATTTTTTGATAATCGGCAGCCTTTATATAGCTCAGCTGTGGTTTACCACTACAGCTAAAGTCTTCCCACAAATGGAATGAGCCCTCACTTTGCTGTATAATGGAAAAGAAAGCCTCATCTTCTCTCGTGCCATTGTAATAGCATACAAAACAGTCTAGGTAATATTAATTCTTGTTATTTTCTACTCTGTTTTTCTTATGGATAACTTTCAACATGGGCTGCAGCTAAATTCTTCATGTCGCAAGTTTCTTATAGGATAGATAAAAAGGAGCAATAAAGGAGAAAAAAAAGGGAAACTTCAGCAATGTGGAGACTCATAAATGGTGTAAGAAGGCTTCAGCTTTTGTGGTAAACTTAATGTTGTGTTTCCCTAAGGCCTCATAAAGACTACTAGTTACTAAAAAATACTAGAAGCTTATTTACTGGCATTTGAAGAGAGAATTGTTGACCACTATCATTGAAACTTAACATACCATTGCTGCTGTATCCAAGGATTGCTAAATTGCATGTAGCAACACATATTTTAAGTCATATTAAAATATGGGGGATTTAATCATAAGGGGGATGTAATCAGAAGTGGCTTGAGCTTGGTAGGATATTTGACTCTCCTAGATTTGACTTGCGTCTAGTAATGGCATAGAATCTTGGTGACTTTATTTAAGTGAAACGCAATGTAATATCAATGAAAAAGTGAGTTAAACCTAATATTTTCAGTCAGTATAAAATTTTACAAAATTTGTCAAAGATCATTTAAACAAAAATAATGTTGATCTATCTATTTTGGAACCTCAGAGGGACTCAAATAGCAATTTTGTTTTCAGCAAGCATGTTTTAAAAATAAGAAATGGTTTACATTTGGCTAAATGTAAAATATGGGAGCTAATTACATTGTTTAAACTGAAGCACCATTGCATGTAATGTAAATGACAGAGATGTCACTCAGCAGCCCCATTGAAGTCTATATTATCATAGCATAAACAGACATTCTTTTAATTATTGTATTTTAAATCTGCATTATTTGAAAAGTAATAAATATGTTGGTAAAATGTGAGGATACAAACCGCAACAGTTGGGCCAAGAAAAGTCACGCTCGAGGTATTCTGAAATAACAAAGGGGGAAGGTTCAATTCAAGTCTTTATGAATTATTGTAGTCAATGACAAAAGGCTGAGTATAAACTAGCTTACATGACGATTCATCCGGAAAGAAAGTTTGAGGATGTCTTCTGCTATGGAGACAAAAGTTTTTCCAATGGGAGACAATTGAAAAAAATAACAAAACTCTCTCTATCCATACCAAAGCAAAATTACTCACCCCACATCCCTATTAGAAGTATGTTATCCTTATTACCAAAGTAACCATCAACATACAAATCTAGTGTTTGGAAAATTTAAGAGTTTGGAAAGCTAAAAAATAGTTGTCTGAGAATTATTTTAATGGCATTCTTCCTATTGTTTATTAAATTCTACATTAAATTAAATATTAATTT